CCAACAGAAGAACAAAATACTACAAGCAGTAAGAGAAAAGAAACAAATCACATATAAAGGAAAGCCCATCAGAATCAAAGCAGACTTTTCAACACAAACCCTTGGGGCAAGGAGAGCCTGGAATGAGATATTTCAAGTACTAAAAGAAAACAACCTCCAACCTAGACTGATGCATCCTGCAAAACTCTCTTTCAAAATGGATGGGGAAATAAGACACTTCCACGACAGAGAACACCTGAGAAACTACATGAATACCAAACCAGCACTACAAGGAATTCTAAACAAGATCCTAGAAAAAGACAGTGAAGGCAACAACACCATGAGGCCCAACAGAGCAAATCAAATAGGCAAGGCAAGAAATTAAAAAGAGAAGGTGAAAAAGTAAAAAGAGTCAACAACAGGCCAATAACATGTCAATAATAAGTCAGTACATATCAGTTATAACCAGCAATGTCAATGGCCTCAACTCACCAACCAAAAGAAATAGACTGGCAAAATGGAATAAGAAGCAAAATCCAACAATATGTTTTATACAAGAAACACAGTGCAAAAAGAAGCCTATAGACAGAAAGTGAAAAGGCAGAAAACAATTCTCCATGTGACAGGAGCCCAGAAAAAAACAGGGGTAGCAATCTTATTTGCAGACAAAGTAAATTTCAAACCAAAACTGATTCTAGTATTACTGATGTAGGACGGGTACTGTATCATACCTCTATGAATGTAAAATATCTTATACCTGCTTTATGATACATAGTAGGGACCGTGCTTTATCAGAGCTACATTTAATGATATTACTCTAGAATGTTCTCTTTCCAGATGATGATTAAGATGCTAATAAAAAAATGGGGCCAGGTACCACAACAGCAACAGAACTTTGCTGTTTTCTGGATATTATTCTTTTCTTTGTTTTTTTTTTCCTTTGGTTTTTCTTTTTGTTTTGTTTTAATGGATTGTGCTGAATGTCTATAATTTTGTTCAGATGACTGCAGAACCTGGAAAAGCTGTTGCTGCTATTGATGCATAACATACTGCTATTATTAGTCTTTTTATATAAATATAAACATATATATACACATATATATATATATAAATTGAATTTTGGGAAACTTTAATGGTGCTGCCAATTTTGGAAAAAGTCATCCCAATTTACTGTGCTGAGTTGGCATTGTACAGAAATGGACAGTCATATTGGTCCAGAAATGTTAATTTTTTTCCATGTGTACAGGGGTAACACATCGTACTAAATATGTAAGTTCATATCTAGTGGGTTTGATTACAGTAACTAATAAAGTATTCTCTAAACAATGAAAAACAAAAAAAAGAGATGTGCAATGGGCTGGCAGTGGGGCTGCAGACGAGATGCGGAGGCCCCACAGAGCCTTGAATGGGAACTAGGTCTTCATGCAATGGTTGGTGTCTCTCATTCCCTGCGGCAGGGGCCCACAGAGCAGTTCTCAAGCAAGATTCTCCCTGCCCAGACTGTTTCTGGCCTCTGTAGGACAGTTGCATGGCAGTGCTAGTCAATCAGCCGTGTGGTCCCTACACTTGTAACAGCGGGGAAAGCCTCTAGCCCTGCTGTTCCCAGGATTTCTGCAGGCAGTGGCACACCGAAGGCAAGAGCCAGGACCAGGTGAGACCTCTATCACACTTCTCACCTTTCTTAGCTTCCTGCCTTGCAATCTGCCGTGTGGCCTGGGCTGCAGGAAGGCCCGATTCTGACTCCATTCTTCCTTCAGCCAGAGCCCACCCAGCCTCTCCACAGGAGCCTGGTATAAAACAACTTTTGCCTTGGGATCTCTCCTCCAACACACCAAGCCCAAGTTAATCTGCAAAGGATTGGCCTTTCTTAGTCTGATGCTTTAATGAAGGCAAATACAGAGTCCAGCCCACCCCACCCCCACGTCCTCAATGCCCTTGATGCCAGGTCTTCTGACCTTCATTTTCCCTCCCTGTGGTCACAGCAGGCTCAGCTGTTCTTGTCCTCCCTCCAAGGAACTAACAAGGAACCTGCCACCAATGGCTCTATCTAGATCTCCTGAAGTGCAGAAGAAATCCACATGGCCAGGGTCTGGAGTGTGCGGGCATCCTGTGCAGTGATTTAGCTTGGGGCTACCTTGCCCATCCTTCTTTTGCCCCCATGGATTCCATGTCCTCCAGGCCAGGCTCACCAGAGGCCCCCTCACTGCTGCCTTCCTGAGCCTCTGGGCACAGCCTCCATCCTGTGGGGCCGGCTCCCCGGGCTGGCATCTGCATCAGGAGTGAAGCTTCAGAGATCTGTCATCTATTCCAAGGCCATGGGTCCAGGCAGGGCCATCCTGGGTGAGGCAGGGCTAGGAGCTGGGTTCTGCAAGACATGGGATGTTCCAGCTGGTTCAGAAAGGGGAGCTAGGGGTGGCCATGCCTCCCGAAGCTGTCCCAGGGTGAAGGCAGTACAGCTCAGAGTTAGCCTCGTAGGCTGTGTCACTGGGCATGGGCTCAGACTCCGAGCTGACACACATTCCCTGCACTTGGGCAAAGTCGTCCAAGTCCCCTTCAGCAACCATACCCACCCCCAAGTGCCTGCTCCTTTCCAGGACTGTGCATGCTGGCTAAGATCAAGAAACGTGGCAAATGTTTAAATCTTAAAGATGAATACAGTGAAAGTGTGCCCCTCACTTCAAACCTGTCTGTCCCGTCACTGTTGCCTCCTTCTGAAGCAGCTCTGGAAATCCTCTTTTGTGAATGTCTTTAGTTGGGCTATCATGGCTGCCTTGGTGCTCTACTTTGATTCAAAACATTTCCCTTTCACGGTCATTTTGACATCGGGGAGAAGCCAGAAGTCAGACGGTGCCAGATCGGGTGAATGAGGTGGGTGAGGAGACGCCCTAGTGTTCTTACCAGCCCGTCTTTTGGTGAGATAGCACGTGGCAACAGTGTTCACCACCTTTTTGATCACCTTGTAAAGACATTTGTGAAAGGGAACTTCCAGAACTGCTTCGTGAATGACAGAGAGCGACGCGATGGGTGTGTGCTCGAAGTGAGGGAGGGTATTCTGAGGGGGACTTGTGACGATGTGTCTCTTACTGTAACAATTTTTTTTCTTTTTTCTTTTTCTTTTTTTGTACTGGGGATCAAACTCAGGACCTTGTGCTCGCCAGGCCGGCACAGCGCCACTGAGCTAAACCCCCGGCACTGTAATACAATTTTAAATTTAACATTCGCCATGTATTTTGCTCACTCTTTACCTTATTGAAAAGAAGCCCACCAGCTCGGCTCTCCGGGCGCTACATGTCCACATCTGGGCACGTTTATGAGCAGAAAGCCACTCCTCTCCCATGCTGAGGCCCGTGGGAAGCCGCCCTTCCCCAGGAGTCAGGAGTGGCTCATGGTTTCCCTGCCCCCGCCTGCTCGGCCCAGCCGGGTTACCTAGGACAATGAGGGTGGCAGTGCTGACTGCCTGGCCCAGCGGGTTCTCGGCCACCACCTTGTACTCGCCCCCGTCCTCAGGGGAGACGCTGGGGATGACGAGGGAGCACACGCCCAGCGTGTCAGTGCTGTACGCCGCCTCGTGTCCCTGCAGGCTCTGGTTGTTCTTGAACCAGGTGACGTGGGGCCGGGGAGAGCCCTGCACGGCGCAGGTCATGCGGCACTCGCAGCCCCGGGGCAGCAGGTGCGTCCGAAGGCCGACCAAGAACCGGGGCTTCTGGCTCAGATCCGGGTCCCGCTGGCACTGCGGCTCCACCGTGAGCCTGTCTGTGGTGGAGACGGGGCAATGGGCCGGGTGAGAAATGAGTGAGGCCGCTAGGGCCAGTGTAGATCCTGGGGCTGGGGGGGGCATTGCCTGGGCCCCACCATGTTGAGCTGCGCACTTTCACTCATTGTTTTTATCTTTTTCCTAAAATTCTTTGTGTTTTTTTGTTGTTTTTTTTTTTACATTCTCTGTGGGTCGTGACACACATAAGAGAGAATCAAAAGGAGTAAGAGTAAAAGTCAACAGTAATCTCACTACCTTGAGACTGCAGCTAACATTCTGCTGTGACAAACGTCTAGATATTTTTGAGTTTTCTAGAAATGAAATCAACTGCGATTTTATAATCTGCTTTTACTAGTCACTTCCTTTAACGTCCACGTCTGACTGTAAACTACACTCTGTCGTCAGAGAAACTCAGCTTCTCTTTTCCTTCCTGCCCACCGCTGCTTCTGAGAAGACATCTGAGCCCTGGCCTCAGGCCCTACCTGTTCCCCCTGGCAGGTGTGGGACCCACCCTGAGTTGGAACACAGAGGCCTTTGGGAGATTGTGGGCATCAGGAGGAAGTGAGAAGGGCGATCAATGGCTCCTTGGGACCCCAGGTCCAGGCGGTCACTGGGATGTGCTCCAAGCCATCTCTGCCACAGCTGTTGCTTGGTCCCATCCCGCATACCACGTCCCCAGGGCTCATGGCTGCCATGCAGAGGGGAGCCCCCCAAGCTGCTCCCTCCCCGGGGGACCCTCACCTCTCTGCCGAGGGAGGCACCAGGGCTGGGTGGTGTCTGAGGGTGTGCTGGCACCCAGCTCGCTCTTGGCCATCACCCGGAAGTGGTACTCGCGGCCAGGGAGGACGCCCAGAAGAGTGAAGCGGTTGGTGTGGACGCGGTCAGCCACCTCCTGCCAGGAGCCGTGTGACGAGGAATGCGTCAGGACCGTGTAGTGCAGGGGGACTCCCTGGGCCTCGTCTGGAGAGGGCTCCCACTGCACTGTCACCGTCCCGGGCACATTCTCCTGCAGGTGGATGGGCCCAGGGGCCTGTGGCCTTGCTGTGGGAGAGAGGGCAGGGGTAGCAGATGGCTCTGCTGTTGTTCCCCACCCCCACCCCGCCAGCCAGTCCCTGGGTCTTCTCAGAAGCCAGGGTCCTAGGGATTACAGTCTTGCCCAGCAAGTAACTGGGGCCAGAGGGATCTCAGTCAGGTGGATAAGTTATGTAACATACGGGCCTAGAAAACCTCTCACAAAAGAATGCTTTTTTATTTTGGCAGTACTGGGCATTGAACCTGTGATCTTCATACTGAGCTGCCTCTCCAGCCCCTTTGTATTTGTTTTATTTTTGACACAGAGTCACTAAATTGCCTAGATTGGGCTTGAGCTTGCAATCTTTCTGCCTTAACCTCCCAGAATGCTGGGATTATAGGCATGCACCACTGTGCCAGCCTCCAAAAAAGATTTTTTTTTGGTACTGGGGATTGAACTCAGCCCCTTTTGCTTGTGAGGCAGGTGGCAGAACCACTGAGCCAAATCCCAGGCCCTCCAAAAAGAATATTTTAATTCAATTTACTTTTAGGTAAAAAAGGCACAACATAGTAGGGGGCTTTCAAGAGTTACAGCTCTCCCCCACTGTTAGCCTGTTTCATCACTTGAATATACAGGGTAGGGGTTGGTGGGGAGTTCCTGCCTTTGTTTCATAAAAGAGACACAAGACATTCTTCCAGTGAGGCCTTTCCTGTGCTATAATGGGAATGGCTGCCTCTGTTTGATGCCAAGTGAAGACTAGCAGGTCTAGGGGAGGTGGCGGACTGTCCCAGAGTTCCTGAGTAGGAAAAATGATGGAACACTCTGGGGGACTCGCTCTCTGTCTCTCCCTCTGGGCCCTTTTTAAACCTATCCTTTCTTTGTGCTGGGGATCAAAGCTAGGGCCTCAAACACGAGCCTGACAAGTGTTCCACCAGCCGCCTTCCTCCTCTCTGTCTTCAAGCACAGAAGAAGGCTGGCTGCTGGGTCACCTTGACACTCAGGCCTGGTAGCATGGCTAAGGCCTGTGCCTGGGCCATGTGAGACCTCCATGCTTGGCAAAGGTCTGCAGAGCCACACCTGCCTCACCTGCCACCCTGACGAGGAAACTGTGGGTGGACTCCTTCCCCTGAGAGTCCCTCAGCACCACAGCGTAGCGGCCGCTGTCTGAGAGGTTGGCAGTGGGAATCAGAAGCTGTGTGAAGCCATCCTGGGTGGTAGTCACACTTCTTCTGGGCAAGGGCAGGCCGTCCTTCAGCCAGGTCACCTCCGGCATGGAGGCAGCCTGGAAAGGGAGGGGAAGAAAAAATCAAGAAAGCGAGTGTTGTGAAGTGACCATTGGACCTGGGGCTGAGGGTAGGAGAGGGGAGAAGAGCATTGCAGGAAAGAAACGTCACACCGAGGAGGGCGGTGCCTGTTCAGGAACAGGCTGGTGAAGAGGTGGTTGTGAAGTGTGGGGCTGGTGAGAGGGAGGTGGTGAGAGGGGCTGATGGGGTGGGACAGGAAGCCGGACGGGGAGGCTGGGCCAGACTGCACCCCTGCAGACAGATGCCTGGGTTTGTTCTGTAAGCAATGACGTGCTGCCAGGGTACTGAGCAGAAACATAACTGGGCCTGATTTGCTTGGGCCAGGCTGGGATGTGGTGCTGGATAGGAGTGAGAAGGCCCCAGACCAGCTTGGAGTGACTTGGAAATCCTGCAACAGGGAGAGACTACAGGAAGGAGGTGAGAGAGCCTGGCCTGGAACTGTGGTGATCCCGGCAGGGTGGGAAAAAGCCAGTCCGGCCGCTGACCACTCTGCTAGCTGCTCGGGGGACCTTGGTGTTGGGCGCTCACAGTAACTCACCCTATGTGAGTGTTCTGAAGGCCTAAGGAACCGACTACACACGAACCACACAAGAACGTGGCCTGGACACAGCACGCACTGAATGTGGGTGAGTTTTTTCATCGCAGTCACTGTCCCTCGATCTAACAGTTAAGACCGTGAAATTCAGAGTAGACAGATGTGGGTTTGAATCTGGCTGGGCTGGCTGTGCGTCTCCCACACAGGTGATGATGATGATTTTAATACTAATGACAGCAACCATTAAGTAACACATATTGGGTTCTTGCCCTACACTAGGCTTGGCTTACACGCTTTCTGTGGGTTAATTCCTTGACTCCTCAGAACAGCCCCTTGAGTTAAGTTGTTACTGTTATCGCCATAAGAGGTGAAGAAGTTGAGACACACGGAGGTTAAGATACTTGTCCAGAATGAAACAGCTAGTGCGTGAGGACGTCAGTTAGGACCCCGGCAGTCTGTACTTCTAACCACCCGCTACCCTTATGCTGTCCGTAGTCAGGTGTTGAGGGTGGATGAAGATCATCCTGAGTCAAATGTGGGTGATGCACTTGCACAAAAATACATTCTTAAATCAAAGGCTATTATCCACATTACAGGCTCCTGAATTTCCAAAGACAGATGAAAAAAAGTGAAAGCCCTGGTTTGGAGGCGCAGTACCAGGAGCTACCACTAGAGGACAGTGTGTGTCCGGGACGGGCCGCGTCAGGAGGACACTCCTTTCTTCCTTCTATCTGGCCGGTCTGCCTCAAAATGAACAAGGAAGAAAAGAGAACCACAGGCTGTGTGGCCGCCTCCCTTAGCCACTCTGGGCTCCCCTCCCCCACGCACTTCTAGATCCACTCACTTCGAAGGAGACAGGCACGCGAAGGGTGTCCCCGGCTCTGACTGTCAGCGAGTCCTTTGTGCTGGAGTCCACGAGGAACCTAGGACAGACTGGAACACACAAGATGGCTGTAACCCCCACCTCCTGCAGTTGGGCCTCAGTCCTAGGTCACCAGCAGGCAGCGGGAGGCCGACTGCCGCTGAGATCACTTGCTTGGGTTCTGCAGCCGGGCCTGGGAGGAAAAACTGAGGAGAGAACCCCAGGAGCAGGGGGACATGCTGGCAGGAGAGGGACAGGAGCAGCAGCTGGGCTGAGGGGGGAGCAGGAAGAAGGTGACCAACAGCCCAGCGCTCTGTCCTGCAGGTATTCAATTAGATCGGAGACAGGAAGTTCCTGACTTGTCTGGGGACACGGCACCTAGGTTAGGAGGATTTCTGAGATTCTGGACTCTGTATATTGTCCCACAAAGGTATCTCCTTATCATCATCATAACAGCTAGGTCATTTGAGGTGTCCTCGCACCAGCTTGAGTCAAAGACAGTTCATTGGCTTGAAATGAAGGCCGGAAGGGAAAGACCTTTCACCTTGTGAGGATGGAGGGAGCCATGTTCTCCCTGAGCGAGAACCGCCTGAGCTGAACAGCACTTGTACCTTGGAGTTGCCTGTTTTAAATCCTGGCTGTGCCTCACACCCCCGGTGGAACCGCAGGCAAATTACTTTAGATGTCAGTTTCCTTCTCTGAGGGCTGGGAGCCAAAAAAACTAACTTGTTGGATAGATATGGACTGTAATGAGAACACTGTATGTTCAAAGGGCCTCTCAGTCCAGCGCCCTGCCTGAGGGCGCTGATTACTTTGCCAAGCTGGGGAAGGGCATCCTGACTCAGCAAGTGCATGGTGGTTGGTCAGGGCCCCTTTCAGAAAGGACCGCAGCACTTGGGGTGGGGAGAGGAGGACACACTCACCGGTGTGAGGCATGGCGCGCACTAATGTGTCCAGGGCAGTGGGTTGGCTGAGGCCCCTGTTGTTAACTGCTGTCACCACAGGAAATAGCCCTCTTGGGGCCGAAGCCCCTTGGCGGTGAAGGTGGTACCTGGCATAGTTGCTCCGTGGCACGGGCTCCACTGGAGACTGTCCACGTGACATGGCTCCACCAAGTACCCCTGGGCATGATCCCCATCCCCAGAATTTGGCCCTACCCAGCTCAGGGTGATGCTGCTGTTGGATGTTTCTGTGGCCTGGAGATCCTGCACCAGCCCTGGGGGTCCCAGCCAAGCACCAGGAGAATGTCCTGAGGGAAAGGCCTCAGTCTTGCCAAACGAGGCAGAATTCTTCGCACTTAGCAGTTCCCGAAGCACCGACTTGGAACCAAACTCTTCTTCTAGCTGGTACTTCACCTCAGCTATGCGCACACAGATCCCAGGCCACCTCCTCCAGGGAGCCCCCCCCTTCCACTCCTTCACCAACTTGCCCACGCCTTCCCCTGGGCATCCTTTGCAATTATTGAAAACTGGAATTTTAGGTGATAACCTAGACTCCTTCAGCCCTGAAGCTTAGACTTCTCTCTACTCTGAACGGTAAGCTCTTAGTGGAGACTCCATCTGGGGCACTGGTAAAGGCTTCTGGTTCTTCATTTGTCCACTGGGGACAGTAGCACCTTACATACCCACAGGGGGCTTTAGAATGAGCAAAGGGCACAGTGAGGAGTGGAAAAGGGCTTTGGAAATTGTGCAACAGCCTGGATCTCCAGTTCTCAAGCCCCGCTGCAGTTTGGGCTCATCTGGGGAGCTTAAAAATCCTGGTACCCAAACACCAGCTGCAGATTCTGTTTTTTGTTTTTGTTTTTGTTTTTTGTACCTGGGATTGAACTCCGGTGCTTGCGCCTGCGAGGCAGGCAGTGAATCACTGAGCTAAATCCCTGGCCCCCAGCTGCAGATCCTGATTCAGTCAATCTGGGTATAGCCAAGGCACCAGCATTTGCAGAAGAGCGCCCCACAGGTTTTTAAATATGCAGTAAAGTCTGACAACCATGGATTTAGATCTGTGCTTCTCAGCTTTGAGTTTGTTTTCTTTGGCTCTTTTGAGACAATGTCTTGCTATGCAACACAAGCTAGCCTCAAACTCTCAATCCTCCTGACGCAGGCTCCTGAGTGTTGGACTTGCAGACAAGCACCACCTTGCCCCGCCCTCTGTGCTGTTTCTGTAGTTCTGGGAATGTCTGCTTGGTGACTGATGTTCTGAGGCCACAGATAGGGAAATGCTGCTCTAGGCTCAGGTTCTCAAGGGCAGAGAACCAGCCAGATGTACTCAGTCCCTTGCAGGGTAGTAACCCTCTAGTTGGTGATGACATTTTGCCTGGATAGAAATGTGCTCCCCAAGGGTGACACTCCCCCATCGGGGTGAGGAGATGGTGACAAGACTGGGACGAGTGCCACCTGGGAACTGACCTTCCCAGAGGCCCAGAGCAACACAATCTTGGGAAGGAGTCTTCCAGTCCCCACTGCCTGGCCTCTGGACCTGTTGGATTTTGATTTGGAGCCTATAAACTATGTCTCACCCCGCGGCTGCTGAACCCTTATCCTCTCTCCTTCCTGAGCATTTCCCTCAGGACTGCCCCTGACTTGTGACCTTCTGTCCTGCACCAGCTGGTTTCAGAGCTGTCCCATCCCCACCACCCACCCCACCCATCTCCATCCTGGGTTGGGGCCCCACTTACTCATGGGGTCCAGGGCAAAGACAGGGTCTGATGGAGGCCCAGGCTCTCCAGGGCCTGAGGGAGCCACAGCTGTGACCCAGAACTGATACTGACAGACCTGCCACATATCAGCCACAGTGCATCTCCTGCCTGTGAAGATCCCACACCCCATCAGTCCCACCCCGAGCAGGGCAGGTGATGCGGAGACAGCTCCATGTTCAGGAGAAGTCCAAGCACATCCCTCCCTGCCTGTGTACCAGATAATCCCCCTTTTTAATGAATATAGAATGGTTAGTGGGTTCCCTGGCCTTTTCACACTAGATCCTGAGAGCCTCTATTCCCCATCCACTTGTGACATACAAAAAATGGCTCAAAACATTGCCATTGTCCTGCTATAGTTTAAATATAAATTGTCTCCCAAAGACTCATGTGTTGAGGGATTAATCCATTGATGAGTGGGACTCAGTTGGAAAAAGTAGGCCACAGGAGTGTTCCTTTGAAAATGCATCCTGTACCCAGCGCCTTTCCTTTCTGGATCTCTTGCTCTCTATCTAATGACTGCCATAAAGTCAGTAGCTTCCTTCCACTATGGCCTTCTACTACATTGTTTCTACCTTGGAACCAGCTGACCATGGACTGAACCTCTGAAGCCGTGAGCCGAATTAAAATTTTCCTCCTTTAAAGTTGTGTATGTCAGGTATAGGCGATTGGCAAATACATCCATGGGGACAAAATCACCCCAGATGAGACCCACTGTGTTAGGCCAGTCTACCCTGATAATACCAAGGGATCTGGCATCAGGAAGGGAACTAAGGCACTAAGGCAGCTTGGAGCCAGGACCACAAGGAACATCCACTGCACAGGTCTGCTTACCAGGCACGAGCTGGTCATTCACAGCTGTCCAGGTGTTGCTCCCCTTCTTACACTTCTCCATCAGGTAACCCAGGATGTGGCCACTGCCACGGCTCCGGGGTGCTGTCCATGTTATAGTGATTCCCTGGCTAGAAGCTGACAAAATAGCTGGGGGGGAAGGGAGCCCTGGGAGGTCTGGGGACAGAGAAGGTGCTGGTCAGCCAGTGACTGAGGAAAGGCCCATTGCTGAGACCCCATAAATCTCAGACCCTGACTGGCTGCCAGATCCCTAATGAATCTGAAGTGGGGAGTTCTCAAGGTCCCCAGGAGCAAGCTGATGGCTCTCAGCCCCCAGGGCAGACCTGCCTTCCTCTGGGCACAGCGGGGAGCCCTAGTATGTCCCCCAACCCCAGCCCCAGCCTTTTCTCTCACCCTCAGGAGCCACCAGCACCTCCTCGGACTCCAGGGCCTCCCCGGGCCCCTCTGAGGTCACAGCCCGCACACGGTAGGTGTACTTCCGGCCCTGCTCCACGCTGACATCCGTGAAGGTAGTGTGGTCTGGGGGGACCTCGCCCACGGTCAGCCAAGTGCTCCTGCCAGCCTGTCTCCTCTCCACCATGTAGCGCTCCACGGTCAGGCCCCCGTCTTCCTTTGGAGGTCTCCAGCAGAGGCAGACACCGGCCCTGCGGTAGTGCTGCACCTCTAGCGGGCCCTGTGGGGGCTGAGGCTTGTCTGGGGACCCCCGGGAGGAACAGGAGGAGAAGCAGGTCAGAGGAGCTAGCTGATCCCCACCCCTGCCCATCAGCACATAAGACTGCAATGGGGACACTGCCCAGAGAGCTTCCCAGGTCACATAGAGGCACACACAGCTCTGGCACAGGGCATTTGCTCAGCCCTCTGGACGCAGGCACCACTGGAGCTGGGGGTCACCATCCCACCCAACACCTTCCATAGGGCATGTGTTGGGTTCACAGAAGCTTGAGCCTGGCCCTTGTTTATCCCAACACCTTCTCCCTACACAGCCTGGGCAGGGGAGAGAGAGAAGGTGTATGGCTTTGGATGCAAATGAGGATCAAGCCAGCAGAGACAACGCTGAGATCCCAGACCTGGTCCTGCTGGGAGGCAGGGTCTGAACCCGTGGGGACTCTTGGGTCTCTGGTGGGGAGAAGCTGGGGCTGGTACCTATGACTTGCAGGATGACATCCACCTGCACAGAGCCTCCCTTGCTCCTCAGTGTCACGCTGTATGGGCCACTGTCCTTCCTGGTGGCACTGGGTAGGCATAGCCGTGTGCAGCCATCTCCCAGGACCACCCGGGCCCCCCTGCAACTGCTGCCCACCACCTCGACCCCATCCTTCCTCCAGGTAGCCTGAGTAGGGAGGCGACTCTGGAAGGGGATCTTCACTGTCACTGGCTGTCCAGCCTTGACCACCAGCGGCTCCCTCAGTTTCTCTGTCACATCAGGAGGTATGGTGGGGGGATCTAGAGGCAAACAGGGCAAGGGGGTCAAGGACAAGGCACTGGGAAGCACAGGAAGAGCCAGAAGAAGGAAGCTCAGGCTGGGAATGAGGAGTTCCTTACCCTACCTCCTGAGGATTAGCAAGGGAAACGGCTTGGGCTATAGCAGGAGGGACCAAGGTTAGACCTCACCAAGGACTTCCCAACAAGGAAAGAGGTAAGACAGCCACATAGCAGGGGCTCTGAGGTAGAGCGAATCAGCTGACACAGAAACTGCAGGACCGGGCAGGGTGGGGCCTCCTCACCCTGGATGGTCAGGGTGGCCTCGGTCTGCTGGTTGCCCGCCACAAATGTGTACTTCCCAGCCTGGGGCCCCTGCACATGGGCAATGTGGAGTCTGTGCACAAGCCCATCTTGCTGTGTGATGATGCCATCCTGGGTGGTGAGCTGGAGACAAAGGCCACAGTGGGCAGTCATTCCCGCCCCCACCCTGCTCCTGTAGCTGCTAACGAGGCCTCTGTTGGTGCACTTGCTGGAATCATTACATTTGCATGCAAGGGATGCTTATCCTTTAACTATATAGCCACCTAATGCGGTAGGGACTACTGTAGCCCCATCGTACAGGTGAGGACCTCATCCAAGGTCAGCTAAGTGATGCAAGTCAGTAGAGCTGGGTCTGGAGCCAGGTCATGCTCATGACACGGCCAGTGCTCTGACTTACTGCGCTGTGTCCTTCCTGATGAAACAGCTATAAGGATGCCAGCCAGCCTGCCTGGTTTGTTCAAGGCCTTAAAAGATGGGTGGAATATAGCAGAGGTGGGTATGGCACAGGCATTTTAGTTGGTAGAAGGCTAAGAGATGGGTCAAGGGAGGAAGTAATAGGATATGCATTCATTTAAAAATCTTTGTTTCAAACACACTAAGTTGATGGCTATTGAAACTTCTCCTCCAAGTGGGTACCTTAGTAAAATGAAGAGTAGTCTTTCTTGCACATCCTCTACCATCTACTTCCTCTCTTCTGAGAGCTCTCTCTGAGCTCACATTGGCAGTAAAGAGAAGACATGAAAGGCCAGTACCTTGACTCCATCTTTAAACCAGGCACCGGGTCCCAGGTCATTGGTGAGGGTACAGGAGAATGTGGTAGCCTCACCCTGCCGCACCTCCATGTCAGCCAGGCCCTGAGAGAAGTGGGCCCTGGGTCCTGAAGAGACACAGAGAGTCCTCAAGGCCCAGCCTCCCAGGCCATAGCCTGCACTGAACCCCGGATGCCACCATGGCCCTGCCAACTGGGCTCAGCCAGTGCCAGCAAAGCCAAGCTTCCCATTTTTTCTAAACAGGACCGAGGCTGATACAGGAGATCTGGGTATAAGGTACACAAAGAGGCCCTGAGTCACACAGATAGAAGGTCTGGGTCTCCCACACAGAGGTAAGCCAACAGTGCTGGTGCTTTGGACACAGGGTTTCAGGGGCCCTCTGAGCCTCATGCAGCCCCGATCCTGCATGCACAAGGAGGAGGAAGCTGCTTCCTGAACTTTGAAGAGGGTCCTAAAAATGGGCAACTGGTAGGGACAAACTCCTGGGGCTGGAGGCTGAGTTGGGACTGACCCAGGCACCCCAGTGGCCAGGGAGCTCCCCTGGACTCCACCCCACAGAAGCAGCCCAGCTGGGAAGACCTACCTCGGGCCTCTGTGGAGAAACTGCCAGTGCCGGCCTTGTTTCTGGATCTGGGGCTCTGGGTGGCATCCCACCCCTCATCACAGACATGTGACCTGCCCTCTTTGGCACCTCTCCTGCTGCCAAGATGCCTGGGGGGCGCCCAGCTCCCACCTTCACTCCAAGTCTCCCCCAGGAACCCTTCATCTTCCCTGCCTGGCTGCTGTCCCATGCCTCTAGACTTCTTTGTGCCCCTTCTCTTTGCTGGTCCAACCTCGGCCCCTGACTGTGCCTGACCCTTGCTCCTGAGGGGACCAGACCCTAGGCCTGACCTGAAAAACTCTTCTGCATCCTGCCTCTCATACTCCTTTAGGGCCCCAGGACCTTGGGCCTTGTCATTCTTGGCCTCTAGGGACCTCTGCTCCCCACATGATCCCTTTCCCCCTGGCTGACAGCCAGGGCCCTGGGTCCCTCCTGATCCCCCTTTAGAGACTTTTCTGCCAAAGGAAACATCTAAGCCAACCCAGGCTCCCTGGGGTCCTGACTCCCCAGCTTTTAGGGAGAGGCCATCCTTTGACTCAGTGGAATCCCCCTTGGTAGGGACACCTGAGTCCTCTGCACCACTAGAGCTTCCCCTCCTGAGACCTGAACCTTTACTCTCCTGGGACCACAGACTTGGATATTCACCAGCAGCCTCTGGGCCTGGCACAAGCCCTCTGCCTCTAGAGCCCCCTGGCCTCTCGTGGGTTCTCCTGGTAGTGGCATCCTTCTCCTGCAGAAATCTGGAAGCTCTGGAGCCTGAGAGTTGGTTCCCAGTACCCATGTTGCCCTGGCCACAGCCCTGGTCTTCCCAGCCTGGGACCCAAGCATAGCTCCCCACTTGTTCATTGGCTAAGCCTGATGTTGACTTGCCCTTTCCCCTAGGCACAGAGCTGCTGTCCACAGTTTGTCCTGCCCTTGAGCTCTCAGAAGCTGATCCCATCCCTCTGCCTTGAAGGAATGAGTCCCCACCTCCCTGAGGTGCCACTGTCCCCTGATCAGCAGATCTAGCCTTGTCTGTCATCCCTGAGCCTGTTCTCCAGAAGCCCTGTTTGTGTTGAGACCCCAGAGCAGCAGTGCCTGTCCAGGCCTCACCCTTTACTGCCCCCCTACTATCAAGAAACCTGGAAGCTCCCATCCTCCCTGCTTCATCTGAGGACCCACCCTCCCCCCTGGGAGCTCCTCCCCACTGGAAGCTCCTCCCAGGACCATCTCCCCACTCCCTGACACCCAATTTTCCCTTGGGACCAACAGTCCCCAAGGTATCAGAGATCCCTGAGGCTCCACAGCCCTTAAGACTGTTTTTGGAACCCCACCCGTCTGAAAGCACCTGTGGCCCTCCCTTTGTCCCCAGCGTCCCTGGGCACATGGGATCCCTGCATGCTGCACTGACCTTATGAGGCATTCCAGCCACCCCAGAGCCTACCCCAGGACCTGCTGCACTGGCGAGCCCCATTCCTCTGCTTCTCTCTGGACCACCCCTGGAGCTTGTGCCACCCTCAGATGCTTCCCAGTGTCCTGACCCATGTTCCTCGGCTTCGTGTCCCATCCTGGCCAGGGATCCTGATACTCCAAACCTCCCAGAACCACCTCTGTAATACACCTTGCCCTCTGACCTCATTTCTACAGAGCCTCCAGAGCTTCCCGTACAACCAACGTCATTTCCTGACCATGTTTCCCCAGCTCCCTCAAATCCATCCCTAAGAGCTACCTCACTCCCTAAAGGAATCTTTCCAGGACCCCCTAAAGCACTTCTATAACCTGCCTCTCCTCCTGACCCCATTTCCCCAGAGCCCCCTGTACCATTTCTATAACCTGCATCACCTGCAGGTCCCAGTCCTCTGAGGCTTCCTGAGCCGTCTCTGCAGCCTACCTCACCCCTTGGCCATGTTTTTGCAGGCCCAAGTCCCTGTGGCCCTCCTCCATCAACTCTTCTGTTCCCAGTTCCTTGAGGCTCTGGAATTTCGGTTCCATCCCCCAAACCCAGCATATTTCCAGACCCCTCAGCCCACTGGCTCTCAGAAGCAGCCCAAGCATGAGAAGCTAGGTGCTGGTTACTATCCTGATACCCAGTTCTAGCTCCAGAGGCCCTGGCACCAAGGAACCCAATCCCATCTCCATCACCATCTTCGTCTCCTGCCCTCAGAGACCCCAGCTCCATGGCTTTTGGACCCCCTGTGCCATCTTCATAGCTGCCTTCTCCAAAGGTCCGCAGAGCTCCTGTGGCTGTGAAGTCCCCAGAATCTCTACTCTGACCCCAAGGCCTCATTCTTTCAGACCCTCCTGGCTCTGCTTCCTCGCTCCTCTCCCCAGTAGACTCTGCTGTTCCAGAGGCCTTGAGTCTTCCTCCACCCACCAACTCCACTGTCCCAGGACCCCATAAACCACCATCAAGATGGTGCCCTCCTTTGGGGCCTGTTTGTTCCTGGCCTCTGGATGGGTCCTGATTCCAGGCTTCACCTAGGTGCATCCCACTGGGGCCCACTGAGCCACTGTTGAGACTGGCAGCTCTTCCGGACCCTCTTCCGGCAGGACTATAGTGATCTTTTTCTCCAGACCACATTCCCCTGGGCACCTTTGATCCATGCCTGTAAGTATCCCCTTCCTCAGACTCTGTTCCAATATGTGCCCCAGAGGCAACTCTATGCCCAGCACCATGACCAGACCTCATTTCTCCTGTGCCATCACTATAAGCAACTCCATTGCCAGGATCTGTCCCCCTAGAATGCTCTGAGCCATTCCCATACCTAGATTCCACTTGTGCCCGGCCTGCTAAGCCATCCTTGTAGTCCATCTCTCCTCTGGGTCCTTCTTCTAGGATGCTCCCCACCCCATTCCAGAAATCCGGTCTGGGTCTTATTGCCTCTGGCTCTCTTAATCCTCCCACATCTCCTAGTGTCCTACCAGACCCCTGAGTGCCTGTGCCTGGAGCCCTAACCAGCCCGTGACTTCTGGCATCCCCCGCCTGAGCAGACTGCATCAACACAGCTGCCCGGACACCACCTCCTTCCCCTCCCCTGGGTCCCAAAATTCCAGGCCCAAGGTGGGTCCCGGTCTTTCTGAGGTGGGACCCTGTGTCACCCTGAGGACCTGGGCTCTCAGAGTCTATTCTTTCGGGCCCCCCTGCTCCCCTCTGCTCCCCTGTCCAGCCCTGGCAACACTTGAGGCTTCTGGATGCATCCTGTGTCTTACCCAAGGCCCCAGCTGTGATCGGGCCATTCCCTCCCTGGAGTTCTTGTAAGCCACCCGCCCGGTCCCTGCAACCTCCTGGGTCCCCGGGGCCACTTTGATAGCCCCATGCCCTAAATACTGTCTTTCTGGGTCCTGGATCATCTGCCTCCTGCAGTGAGTCCTCAGCTTTGGTCTCAGGACTCCTATCCTTGGGGCGAAACTTCCCACCTCTGGATAGAGAGGGTTCATGGAGTTGCCCTTCTCTAAGTGTCTCTCCTGAGTACTCCCCTGGCCTCCAGTATCCCCTCTCTTCCCCATGATGAGCATCTTCACATCCCTGAGAGCCCCAGGACTCAGGGCCCATGCCTGCCTCGGAACTGGAACCCCTTCCTCCGGGAAACTGCAGGATACCAGGATCTCCTACCCCATTGCTGTCTCCACCTTCCTCAAGGCCAGTCCCTCCAGCCCACACTGCCTCTGCTTCTCCCCTCCCTGCTTCCCTGCTCAGGCCATGTCCTCCCTCCATCTCATCTAGGCCATTGCCTTGTAGAATCCTTTCTATTCCCTCGCCTTTCGTCCAAGATCTCTCAGGATCAGACTGGGATCCCCACGGGGCTCTCTTCTCTGTCCCAGGTCCCAGCTGAGCATCCCGGGATAGGTCCTGGACATGTCTGTCCAGTTGCCTGCCATTGTCTTCCCTGCGACTCCTTCCTTCCCTGCTGCTCCTCAGTCCTTCCGCCTGAGGGTGACTGGATCCAGCCTCCCAGCTTCCTTTTGTCCTCCAGCTGCTGTCTCCATGGCCTTCTCTGCCACTGTCTTGCTGTTGTCTCTCCATGAATCCCAAGCCTGATTCTGGGCCTGCTCCCTGCAGATGAGACCTCCCTAGGAGGCTCCCATCCCAGACTCCTTCTGGGTGGGGCTGATTTTCCCCTGGTAGAGTGGCTCGGTCCCCCTCTGCTTCTAGAAAGTCCTTTCTCTCCTGCCCGGGGCCCCAGGCTGAGTCAGCTGCCCACTTATCCCCCATCAAGGAGTAACCATGCCTGCCAGGGCCACAGCTGTCAGGGTCCACAGTGAGCTGGAGCCCAGAAGTTGGCCCAGTCCCCTCGAGGTAGCCCCCTATGGAGCCCTTCTGTCTGGGTTTCCCTCCCTTGCCACTGATGCCCTCGGAGTCTTCTGCATCTGAGGCCTGAGCTCCTTGTGTCTGCAGCTGGCGGTCAGCACTTGTGGTCTGAAGGCCTTTCTCCTTCCCAGCTTCGATGAGGTGTTATTTACATGAGGTCAGTGCCCCCAAAGACAGACAAGAAAAAAGACCAAAACCCCGTTAAATCGGGCCAAAGCACCTGCCTGACTGGACTGCTTTACCTGACCCTCAGTTTCCCCAGTAGAGAAGCAAGCTGACCATGTGGGAAGGGAGCCGGGATGTTCCAGTGGACAGGTGGATAAATCCCACCACTACTTGCCCCAATCCCACCCTACCTGCTACGTGAGTTTTGGTTGGTTTTTGGTTTGTTTGCTTGTTTGTTTGTTTGAGGGGGGGTTGCAGCATAGGGATTGAACCCAGAGGCTGTTCTTGCTGAGCTCCATCCTCAGCCCTTCTGCAAACTTTGAGACAGAGTCTCACTAGGTTGTCCTGGCTCGCCTCCAATTTAAGATCCTCTTATGTCTGCCTCCAGGATAGCTGGGATTACAGGTGTATGCCACACTACCTGGCTGGTTCTTGAGTATCTTGACACATAACTACATAAGCCAAAAGTCATTTGCTTACCAAACTGCCATAGGCAGGTGCATGGTTTTAAAAAGGTCCAGTTACCCTACTGCCAGCCTTACATTTATAGTTTCCTAGGTTCATACTGAACCCAGTCCCCAGGGAGATCAAGGGTGTGCTCTGGTCGGAAGCCCTGTTCAGAACCCTCAAGCCATTTGGATCTGTGACCCCAGAGTAGCTCCAGGAGGCCCAGTGGATCGGATGCATCTGGGAAGGTTCAGCTGGCCACAAAGGACTGCACTGAAGTGGTTGCCCTCCTGGATCTCTCTGAGTAAGAATGTAAAAGCAAGTGACTGGCCACAGGGAAACCCCCGCTGCCTCAGCCCTGAGGCCTTGCCTTGGAGAGCCGTGGAAAGACAGGGTGTGACACCTACCTTCAATCACCAGCCAGGCACTGGAGGTGTGGAGCCCCGTGCCCAGAGAGTAGAGGCCCCTGTCTGAGAGGCGGGCCCCCTTCACCAGCAGCCGATGGGTCAGCCCATCAGGTGACACAATCGCTTCATATTTGTCAGTGAGCCTGAGAGGCCTGTGCTGGAAATACCAGGTAGCATCGGGGCAGGGTTTGGAGAGAGTGCATTCGAATGCTGCATCTCCCTGCTCCTCACAGTGGGCCTCGGCCAGCGGGACCACGACTCTGGGGGGGATGGCTGCAAGGGAGCAGAAACGGGGCCGTCAGTTTGACACCACGACAGTGGGAACTGGTGCAGTGGGGCCGGGAGTTCAGAAATCCCTTGTTTCGACCAGCTTGGCCACAGACCCCCTGTGTCCCCTTGGATGGGCCATTCCCTTCCTCAGGGTATCAGCCATAGAATGAGGAGTTACAGTGAGGTTGTGGTCACCAGGGCCATTTTCAGCTGTGGAATTCCATAATTCTAAATCAAGAGTTCTATTTGGGGACAAGGAGGGAACATGAAGGAAACCAGTAAACCAAGGGCCAGGGCCAAACTAACACTTTACCCACACTGATTTCAGACTTTTCAGAGCCCACTCCCTTCCCTTTTGTCGACCTTGACCCAGCTGTGTTCCTTATGATCTATCTGCCCAAAACGTTCTCTCCCCAGGCACTTCTAAGAGCCTCTCACACTGCTGTGGGTGACGCAGACGCAGGTCCTCGTGGGTATGGGGCAGAGTCTAATGAGGGAGGAGGGCCAGCCCCCAGGAGGAGAGGATGCAGGGGAAGCTGGGTAGGGTGAGGCTTGTGCAAGGTACAAGTGTTCTCTCCAGGGTGGAGAGTTTGGCTAGGGAGTGCATCAGAAGGGAGCGAAGCCATGGCAAGAGTCTGTTAAATTAGTTTGTATCTGATCTGAAAACAACCAGGTACGGCAGAAGATCTATGGGCAAGAGCATGGCAGTTATGTTCACTACGACTGTGACCCAGTAGTGCCCAGCTTGGCCCCAGTAGAAGACAGAGCGTGGGTGTGTGTCCTTCTCTCCCATTATCTTTGCAATGGAGCCCTGTCACACTTATCCTCCCTATATAGCAGCAGCAGGAACCCCACACTTAACAGATCTCCCCCTTCAAACTTCAGCAGTGAACATCACTCACCACCAGCCTCCAGTTCTGTGGAGAAGACCACAGTGTCCTCCACCTTGACCTGGTAAAGGCCAGCATCCTCTGGGCAGAGGTCCTGGACCTGGAAGTGGTACCGTTTCCCCAACCGCCGCAGACAGTGCTTGGTCTGGTTATTGAAGCCATAGGGGACCATTTCACCATCCTGTGTTTAGGAAAGGAAAAGGGTGCTTCTGGGATTCCAAGGTCCCCAGAGCCTCTTGCCTCAGTCCTACTCTGGCGGCACCAGCAGTTCTCTCCCTTGGCCCAGGCCCCAGACAACAGTCTTGGAGCCATAAGGGCATAGAGGGGCTGGGCAGAGAGCAGGTGGGTGGAAATATGTTCTAGGCTTATTTGTGCCTCTCACCGTGGAGTGGAATATCAGCAAGAGTTATGCCAAAGAGGCACCTGGGGTTGTTGATCCAGCTCAGACTGCGAGGAGAGTTACTACCAGAACAGCCCTACCACGTTAGCAGGGGAGGAAGAAGGAATCCCAGTGCCCCCTGGGGCCCCAGTTCCTTCGTTCAGCAAGGAGAATCTTCAGAGACTATATTTAAAGCTCTACAAAACCCAGTAATTTATATGTATGCCCACTTTTGCTAAGCCCTACATAGATTCACTATTTGCTAAATATTAACAATGGCTAATGCTTTACAGATGCCCACTATGTGTTAGGCAGAGGTAAACAAAACAGACAAAGATTCCTGTCCTCAGGGGACTAAATCCTATGGCAAATTGTAGACATTATAAGTAAGGGAATGATCTATGTTTTAAAGAAGAGTACTAAGAAAAATAAAGAGGACAAGGGGCCAGGGATGACAGGGCAGAGCTAGGGAACACAGCGGTGTCACATGGGGCCATCTGCTGAGAGAAGAGCAGGGCAGGCACAGGGATGAGGCCAGAGTGGAGGGAACAGAGGAGCAAGGGAGAGAGCAGGAGGAGTAGGGAGAGAGGCGAGGGAGAAGCAACTCCTGCCGGATCCATCGCTTTTCAGTATGCCGGGAGTGTGACCTGCACTTCACAGGAGGAGAAAGTGAGGAACTGGGAAGGTGAGTATCTGGCCCGAGGTCACACAGCTTGGTAAGTGACGGGGCCAGGATGAGTTTGTCTATAGAAATGCTGTCCTTTGTTGCCCCACAGCCTCACACACCTGCCCCACGTGGTTGCCAGGGCATGGCTCCTCCAGCCTAGGTAGGAACGCGTGAAGTCTGCAGCAGGAGCTCAGCCGGATAGGAATGCACTTTCTCATAGCTTGCTTTTTAGACCCCCGTTGGAACATTAGGCACAGTTTCTGGAGTGAATTGGCTAAGCTGGAGAAGCCTAGTCATTCAGTGAGAGACACCAAGCTCCTCTGGACTGTCCACACCAGTCTGACTTAATTCCGGCCAGGAGCAACATGGGGTGCTCCGGTGTTCCCTCGGGGGACCCGTGGGATCCACTGTTCTCTCTCCTAGGACCTGCATCCTCCCCTGGAGCCCCTGCCCCACGGCCTGCCCAGACTCACCTTGTACAAGTGAATCTTGCTCTCAAGGTCCTTCAGATCGAGCTCCAGGTCAAACGTGGCAACTCCCTCCTTGGTGACCCTGATGTGTCTCAAGTTGGAGATGGCGCTGACATACTAAAGGGCAGACAAACCCATCTGGGCATCTCTCAGAGCGCTTGCTCTCTCTCTCTGCCTCCCTCCCTCCCTCTCTCTCTCTCTCTCTCTCCAAACCCCTAGGGATCCCAGTCCTATCACTGCTCAGTGTCCCAGCTGGGCAAGCCTTCGCCTGTCTCTCAAGCAGGGAGACTTAAGTCCCCAATGAAGGAAATTCTCTAAATGACAGATCAGGTCTAAAGGCAGACAGGAAAGGACCCCAGGTGCCCAGGTACTACGAGAACATACTAGGAATTCCCATTCATCTGCCCTGCCAGCTAATAAACCTGAGTTGAACGGCTCACATATGGAAAGCTCTGTGCCAATTCCTGTGTTAAAGGAGACAAGAAAGCTCAGAGCTGAGGCCCTAGGTGGAAGGTTTGAGGAATCACCTTAAAGAGATAAAGTACTGTTTTCAAGATAATGAAAACTACCTGTTTTCCATTTCCAGAAGAAAAAATCAGACTTACAGTTATGTTAGACACAGGAAAGAACTTCCTATGCAGTCCAGAGGACACTGGAATTGAAGTACTAATAGCAACTGTGAAATTCTCTCTCCTGGAAAGCTTTAGAAATAAACTATGTGCACCATGTCCGGTGAGGACGAGGATGGTGGTGAAGATGACAGCTGACATCAGACCTTCCTTGCAATGTGTCAGGCACTAGGCTGATTTCTTTAACTACATTCTTGTATTTGTGCTCTCATTCACCTTTGGAGTTGGGTGTGACTATAATCCCCATTTTACAGATGAGGGAAACAAGACACAGAGATCCTAACTTTTCCAAAGCCTCAGACTCTATATCAGAACCAGGTTTCAAAGCCAAGATGCCAACTTGGAAGACTGGGCCCCTGGTAGGACACCTCACTAGGGGCTAGTGACCCCCAGCCATGTTGAGTTTCCCCCAGGCCCAACTCCTGGAGCCCCTGCAGGTGCCTGTATGCCAGGTGTAGGCCCGGGGCAGGGTGAGGAGGGCACCTTTGCCATCTCGTCCTCCTGCTCCTTCTTCATCTCCTGCAGCTTACGCAGCATCCCCCGGAAGTCCACAATTCCATACTTCAAGCAGATCTTCTCGTAGTCCTTCCGGTCTGCATTCATCAGCAGCTGCCACACCTGCTCTGACTCTATCTTTTTTTCAGGAGCTGGAGGTGGGGACCTGGGGAGCAGGGCTGGCAGGTCAGAGCCCAGAGGAGCCCCAGGTGTTGGCTAAGTGGTCCAGGGAAGCTGCTCTATGTACACTTGAAAAAGGAGACGTAGGGACTGAAATCTCTGGGACTGACCACTGTTCAGACTGGAGGGACCCGGGGACTGAAGGGGCCAACCTCAGGCCATGGCTCCAGCTTCCAGGAGAAATTCAGCTGCTAATAACTTGAATTGTTGATTTCTGAGCAAGATGGTTTTCAGTAGGGATATGGGCAGAGTTGAATTGTTCCGTTGCTTTAAATTTTTCTTTTTAGAAAACACTGTTTTAGTGGGCCACCCCCTTTTTCAAATGAGGTCAGGACCCAGAAAGATGAAATGACTAATGAAAGGGGAGTTTTAAAGTGATTAAGCTGGAACCAAAAACCTCAGCTCGGTGCTCATCCCATCCTCCCATCTGCTAGTGGCAGCCTAGCCTCCTGCCTGTGTTGGAAGGGGAGACAGGGCCTGAGTGAAGCTTATTTCCAGGAGGAGAAAGGGGTCCAAACTGGCCCTGGGACAGGCCCAGACTCACCTCTTTTTCAGCATCTTCCTGAAGTCCATCATTTCCTTCCTGAGGTCTAGAAAAGGAGAAGGAATGAGACCCCCTTTGCAGGTGGGGTGCTTGACCAGATGGGAATACCAGGCAAGGAGGGAGATTCTGGGTTTGTTCATTTACCCTCCTGGGGTTCCTTTAGTCTCTTCTGGTTCTTCCGAAAGCCAACTGGACCAACAGGGAGGCAAGGAGGGCACTGATGCACACAGGCAGGGAGAGAGGCAAGACATGTGAGTGACCTGCCTCAGAAACAGAATGAGTCCCACAGCCCTGACCTGCCCGCTCCTCAGGGGCTCTGGCACCCCACAGCCTCGCAGGACCCAGGGAAGCCAGCCGGTGCACCACCCGGTGAAGGGGAGGTCCACTCACACGTCCGCAGGGGCCAGGCAGGTGACACAAATGAGTGAAGTAGCACTGGCAGCCACAGAGGACTGAAGGGCTTCTAGAGGGACAGCTGCTCTTTTACTGTGCTGAGAGCCACGTGCCAGGGAAAGGGCCCACTGTTGCCAAATATGTTTGGCTGCTCCTGCAGTCACTTGTAATCCTCCTCTGCATCACCTGCTTCCACTGGACAGGCTGGAAAACCGAAAGGCTTGCCTTCCCAGCTTCCCTTACAACTAACTAGCCGTAGTCTTGTGTTAGTTCTGGCCATTAAAGCCTAAGCAAAAGCCCCCAGGAACTCCGGAGAAGGCTGCTCCTTCCTTTAGAAGAGGACCACTTCCTTCCTCCTGGTGCCAGCCCTGAGCTGCAGAATGAGCCCCAGACTCCCATCTCAGAGCTTCCTACCATGTGAAGTAATTAATATCTTTATTCCTTGGGATTATCTTAGTAGGATTTTCTTAGTCCTTGTTGGCAATCCAATAGAAAGCATAACTGAGAGACAGGATCTGCTTCCTCAAGAGGCATCTATGTACCTTCCAAGTATTACAAGCTGACAGTTAACTTTAAGAAGTGCAAGCACCATGCAAACCAAAGAAAAATGTCTGATGTGGGATTTTCTCTTTGTGTTGTCTGTGTTTAGCTCTGATGTAGGCCTGTACTTCTAGGAAGCTGAGGACCAGGGAAGACTAGAAACCAGCTTCAGGTTCTGGTCTGGTTCTATTAGGCCAAGAGAGTGTTGTTGAGAGCATCTGCAGCAGGGTGTCTGCAGAGGGTTTTGTTGTTGTTGTTGTTTGTTTGTTTGTGGTTTTTTTTTTTTTTTTTTTGAGACAGGGTCTCACTATGTAGGTGCGACTGACTTGGAACTCACTATGTAGCCCTGGCTGGCCTCGAACTTACAGCGATCCTCCTGCCTGAGCCTCCCGAGTGCTGGGACGAGTGTGCCCCGACACCCAGCTCTGCAGAGGGTTTTGTTGTTGTTGTTGTTTGTTTGTTTGTGGTTTTTTTTTTTTTTTGAGACAGGGTCTCACTATGTAGGTGCGACTGACTTGGAACTCACTATGTAGCCCTGGCTGGCCTCGAACTTACAGCGATCCTCCTGCCTGAGCCTCCCGAGTGCTGGGACGAGTGTGCCCCGACACCCAGCTCTGCAGAGGGTTTTGTTGTTGTTGTTGTTTGTTTGTTTGTGGTTTTTTTTTTTTTTTGAGACAGGGTCTCACTATGTAGGTGCGACTGACTTGGAACTCACTATGTAGCCCTGGCTGGCCTCGAACTTACAGCGATCCTCCTGCCTGAGCCTCCCGAGTGCTGGGACGAGTGTGCCCCGACACCCAGCTCTGCAGAGGGTTTTGTTGTTGTTGTTGTTTGTTTGTTTGTGGTTTTTTTTTTTTTTTTTGAGACAGGGTCTCACTATGTAGGTGCGACTGACTTGGAACTCACTATGTAGCCCTGGCTGGTCTCGAACTTACAGCGATCCTCCTGCCTCAGCCTCCCGAGTGCTGGGACGAGTGTGCCCCGACACCCAGCTCTGCAGAGGGTTTTGCCTCTGCCTCACCAGCACATTTCATGGATGATGCAGGAGGCTGGGGCTGTGGCACCAGGCGCAGCGGGAGTGGTGGCAGAGGTGGTGGCCGCCTCCCCACTCTCACCAGATACGTGGCCCCTGGCTCCTAGGAGGGCCCTATGCCCCATGAAACCCTCCGTGGGAAGCGCACCTTCAATGACAGTGAGCCTCGCTGAGCATGTGGCCCCCCCATACTCATTCACAGCTGCGCAGCGGTACAGATCTGTGCCCTCACCTGTCAGCTTGTTAATCTGCAGCAAAGACCAAGGAAGTGGAGCAAGGGTGGCACTTTCCCTGCCCTCATTTCTAGACACAGTGGTGGGTCGGTCATGTAAAGATGGATGAGTGGCACCCAGGCCTTGCCCTCAGGAGTGCCCACTCTTTAGGAAGAAATGCAGGCGGCACACCCCACCCAGCTAAACGAAAACCCGAACAGAAGGGGGCTGTCTCTGCTACCAGAGGAAATGTGGAGTAGCAGAAAGAGCTGGCTCTGTGGGTCAGGCGGAAATGGGACTGAAGACATCTCTGTTCTGTATTACTCGCTGTGGGACCTTGGGCAAGTTACCCAACCTCTCTGAACCTTAGTTTCTTCGCTTGTAAAATAGGGACAATAACAGTCAGAAAGTAATGACTGATTAGGATTAAGTCATGTAATCTATGTCAAACATTTAGCCCACAGCCTGGCACACAGATGTTACACAGTTGGTAGATATACCACTACTAATATCAACCAAGGTTGCTTGAGGACGGATACTCCTTGACTTGCTCTGGAGTTATGTCCCAATAAACCTGCCATGAATTTAAAATATCATAAATTAAAAGAGCACTTAATATACCTAATCAACTAAGCCTACCTTAAATGTGCTCATATCACACACCAAAAGTTAAAAGTTGCAGGGTTACTTTTATATGAGAAACGCAAAGTATAAATGATTTAAATAGCAAAATAAAAGCCAGACAATAAGGAACAAGGAGGTGGACCTTTTGTAGATAAGAAGGGGAGCTAGACATGGAGGAAAAAGGGAGAAAAAGAGGGGAGGGGAAGTAAAAAGGGTTAAGATATGCAGAGGTATCAACTCTCATGATGAATGTATCATTAGTATCAAAAAGCATACGAATAAAACTTTAGTAATTTAAAAAACATACAATATGAAATCGTGAAGAATGAAATACAAAGGAGTGCTCAGAACACTAAAGTTGGACAAAATCATCTAACGCAGAGCCTGTTTTCTAATGAGGCCTTGGATGTGTCATGTGACTCTTTGACCATGTGACTATGGAGTACAGATTGGATGTCTTCCCTCACCATCACATGACCACACTGCATACTGTCCAGGAAAAGACCAAAATGCAAAATGCAAAGTGCATTCTTTACCCAGTGTACTTTACTATCGCACCATCATAAAGCCAAAAGTTGCAAGTCAAACCATCCCAGCTTGAGGACAGTCTGTACTTGCTATTGAACCAACCACTGACTGGACACTGCATGTAAACCTTTAATTCTCATAAAAACTCCTTTGCGTAGGTATTGTAATATTACCCCTTTTCCCAGACAAGGAAACAGGTAGAAAGAGGTCAATAACTTTCCAAAGCCAAAGGGGTGGGCTGGGATTGTAACAGGACAGTGTGGCTCCTAGCTTCGGCTCTTCTGCCCCAGCCCAGCCGCTCTCCAGGCTATCAGGAGCTGTACCTGTGAGCCCCCAGATCCACTCCTGACTCAGGCAACCTTGAGCCAGGGGACAGCGTTGTATGGACTTAACTGCTATCTCTTACTTGTCCAGGGACTGGAGGCTGCTGGGGAGACCTGCAAGAGGACAGGAAGGGGTGGGTAGAGTCAGGTCAGAGAGGAGCTGCAGCACTCACCTGCAGCACACTCTCCAGGGGCCGAGGAGATCTGGTACTTGCTGGAGTTGCTGAGGTCTCCTTTGGTGCTCAGCCAGTGCACCTGCGGTCTGGGGTCCCTGCAGACCACAGCCCCGAAGATGGCATTTTTCCCTGCAGCCAGAAGAGGCCGGTGGGGAGGCCTTCACAGTATACTGAGATTTTAATGTATGCCATCTTCCCTGCACTTTTTTCCTGTAGCCTTCTAGAATGGCCTTCCTGAGCCCTGCCCGTGAATCACCGAGCATGTGACTGACTGGAAAAAAGTTTGAGAGGAAATGTTTTTTGCCTCGGTCTCTGCAACAATGGTTGTGAGGCAGGCAGGAGAAGGGAGGACTAAGAAACACTACCGCCTCGCCCTGCTCCTCAGTTCATCACTTCCCCATCCTAGTCTGATATTTCTTACACGCCTTTTGCCCATCGTGCTCCGAGGCTCCTTGTCCCTTGTAGGGATCCAGGTAGGCAGACACCCCCAAGCATACAAGGGAGACGAGAAATAGGCTGGTGATGGATCCTCAGGAAGGTGGGTGCCCAGGCTCTCTCCTTTGTGTGTGCTGGGAGGTAGGAGAGCAGGGATCCGGCCTTCCCTCAGCAGTGCTGCCCAGGGCTCACCCTCCTGCAGAGCCAAGGTGATGGGCTTCTGCTCAAAGTCGCGTGCTGCAGCCTTTGGGGATCTCCTCCACCAGCCGCCGGATGCTCACCCCAGGGATGGAGGGCTTCTTCACAGGCTTCCCTGGAGAAGGTGTGAGAGGGCGAGATTGCCCCCCTCTGCTCTCTTGGATGCCCTGAAGTAGGGAGCACCTACTGACCCAAGCAGGGAGCAAAGCCCCTTCCTCTCCCAATGTTGGAGCTGGATTGTCCAGCCTCCCTCCTGCCTGGGAAAATTGCTTCTTAACTTTCCAGTGGGAATCGGCTGGTCTGAATGGAGCCCCCAGGAAATGGCAGGGGGCACCCTGGGAAAAGGCTCAGTGGGTCACTGAGGAAAAGCTGTGGAAGGGAGACAGAGAAACTGTTCCTTCCCAGGAAGTAGGAGCCCATGTGGGAGCCCTGCACCCTTTACTCAGGAAATCAAATCATAACCCAAAGCAAAGACATGGGTGGGTTCTACCCCTCCTCCCTCTGCACCTCATAAGGAGAGCCACGGCAGGGACTGGAGGGGTGATCGGTTCTCCTCTCACCTGCCATCATTCTGGCTCCTCTTTGGCTCCTCTAAAGGTAGAAATTGAACTCCTGAGGATGGAAGATAAGCTTCTTAGGAGAGGTCCAGGCTGGTCTTGTAAACGCCTCCCACACCATCAGTGCCCCG